CATAATGGCATATCTGATGAATGGCTGAGCAAGTAAAAAACCAAAGAACAAATGTGGAAGCAGAAACAGGAAGACACACCACCAGCTTCAACTAGAGAAGCCCAGCAGGGTACAGCACTGCACTGCTCCCCGCAACAGTCCCAGCAAGGCAGGGGGATGGGAAGGGGAGGCAACCAAGGCTCTGACAGGTATATAATACTGTATTTATTTCTTACAGGTCTAAAGTGAACGCGGCAAAACGTGATCAGCCACAATTCATTTGGCACGGTCGGGCACTTCCATCACATGTCTATTATTAAACAGACACTTTCCTATCTATTAAAACGGAAAATTAGGCAGCACAGGCAATGCACATCTCTAACCACAGGCAGAGGCAAGGAGTTCTCTATAAGTTCAAGGCCAGCCTGGTCTACATACCAAGTTCCAGACCAGGCAGGGCTACAGAGTGAGACTCAAAAAACAACCAAATTTCACACGGAAGTGTAACTAGCCATGTCTCCACAGTGCTCAGCAAATCGAGTTTTTCTTACCTCCACTGAAGAACGGGGAGTCACAAAGAACCGACTGAATTCATCCGGGCTGAAATCTCCAAAAATATACTGAAAACAATAAGAATGCTTGATTACATAAAATATGCAAATTACTCATTTTTCAAATGCTATATATTTAATGTCCGTCCTATAATATTTGGATTAGAATTCCCCAGATCCTTCTGAAGTAAACAAACGGGAGGGCAAGGGCTGCAAACTGAGGTTCCTAGGAGCAGTATTTCCCAAATACAAGGAAGAAAATGTCAACCTTTTCTGTAACTTGTCAAGAAAGCTTGTCTAACGCATGTGCACTGCGCCCCGAGGCTGTGGAGTCCACCAGTGGAAAAGACTGGCTCAGCAGTACCTGCAATTCATCTCTCGCCTCCGCCGGCTTTCTGCCAGTCCGGTTACTACCTCCACTCGGGTTTTCCTGCCGAGCACACTGAAGAGAGCTAGAGACAACCAGGTTCTCACAGGTTCTGGTGGAAGACCAGGAAGTCAACACAAGTGTAGGAGATCCTGACTGGTGCTTTATCTTTTCATTTTTTTAGTTTTTTGAGACAGGGTCTCCCGTAGCCCAGCTGGTCTGGCACTCACTGTATAGACCAGGCTGGCCTTGATCTCACAGAGATGTGCCTGTCCCCTAAGTGCTTAGAGGTATGCACCACCATGCCCAGCTTGAGGACTGGCAATCTTTAAACAGACACGCAAACACACACTTGAACAGGGTATGCAGACACCCATTAGAGAGATGCAGTCCTTTAGCTGGTGGGCCAAGTATAACCAGGCACTGCTTGCTTGGTGAAACTGCAGTTGAGTCTGGCAAGTGCCCACTGGTTCACATGGTCCTGGGGAGTTTGAAGAAATCCCACACTGACAAGAATCAGCAAATTTCCACAATACTTATCTGCTCCTTCATTCATTCAACTTGGACACATGTAGAATCTACTAAAAGCAAAACTCAGGATGGGGGGTGAAAACAGAAGCAGAGCTGTGAGCTCTGCTAAGAGCTTACGGTCTAGTAATTACAGGAGATGATACACGAGGTGTCTTACAAATAATTTGCAACTAAATGTTACGGTTGCAACTAAATGTTACAGTAAATAATAGTCTTCCTACTGTCAATGCTAAAGCTGGCAGCCAATTCTGCTGTCCTGAGGGCCTGTCTTCCAAAGTCATAAACACACATGAAAAACAAAAACATGGGGCTGGGGAAATGGCTTAGTGGTTAAGAACACCCGCTGCTCTTGTAGAGGATCTGGGTTTGGTTCCCTGAGCCCACTGACATCTAACACCCTCCATATCTCCAGGTACAGGGGATCCAGCACACTCTTCTGACCTCCACAAGCACTGCACGAAATGGATGCACTTATAATACATATGGGCAAGACACTGATGTACATAAAATAAAAATAAATTTAAAGTGTTCACATTAACATTCACATATACTTCAAGTCCACGAAGAAGTAGACCGATGGTAATGGTGGCAGTAAACTGAGATGCAACACGGCTTATAAGTCCTCTCTTCAAATACCTCATGAACTTATCACACGCAACACACTTAACGCCACTCACAAGTGATGGAAAAGGAAAGAGATGAAAGGAAACAGGAGAAAAACACACAAGTTGCCATAAAAAAGGAATTAGGAGAGAACAGCAAAGTCTGGAAACCAGACTACTAAACTTAAATTACTAACTCGAAAACTCATTAAGTTCTAAGGAAAGAATCAATAAGCCTATAAAAGAAATAGGGTAATGTCTTGAAAGATCAAGAAAAAATATGTTTTCTAGAATTCTCGGGCACCATTCACAGAATTCTACCCCATGGTCCTATCACGCAAATGGAAAACAAGAAACAGTGGGCCTGGTGCTGCACACCTTTAACCCCAACACTTGGGAGTCACAGGCAGGTGGGTCTCTGTGAGATGGAGGCTAACCTGGTCCACATAGCAAGTTCCAGGTCAGCTAGGGCTACAGAGAGACCCTATCTCAAAAAAAAAGAAAAAAAAAATCCACAGTCTCCTGACATAATCAATCCTATTTTCAATGCTTGAAACTCATGAGTTTTTAAAAGTGAGCTGTTAAACCTCGCCAAAATTTAAGTCTCATTTCAGTTCTGTGACTGAAGCCAGCAGATGGGGTTCTAAACATCTGTGCACAGCACCCACTCTGGAGAAGCCTTGGTCAAGATCGCTACTTCCCACTTCCACCCATGTGCTCATAGCAGATAAGCTACACATGCCTTCTTCCTGTGTGCCCTCTGCTCATACTCAAACAGGAGTTCTGTAACCCAGTAATTTCATGAAAGAACGCCTGATGCTTGGGGAGTTCACTGTCAAAGGTTAGGAGAGATCAAGTTACTAATATCTGAGGCCATTAGTAATCAATGGGAGTTTCCTACAATTGTACTGGAAACATTAAAAAGTGATGTATTTCTGTGTAGGCAAAGTAACTGGTATCTGTGGTGACTGTGAACACTTTCCCATCAGCATCAAATGTATTTTACAGGTCACAATGCCACTTAGACTACAGGAAGCATTTCTATGAAAAGCATTATCACCCACTTTACTGCAAAAAGTAAGCAGAAGTATTGCTTGCAAAATAAATTTTAACATGGTTTAAATGTATTGAGAGGAGGAAAAGACAAAATTAATATGCTAATAAAACTACAAAGCTGGGCGTGGTGATGCACACCTTTAGCCCCAGAACTTGGGAGGCAGAGGCAGGAGGATCTCTGTGAGTTCAAGACCAGCCTGATCTACAGAGAGTTCCAGGACAGCTGGGGCTACATGGAGACCCTGTCTCAAAAAGCCAAAAAAAAAAAAAAAAGAAAAAAGAAAAAAAGCTACAAACCCAAAGACCAAAATCCCACTGAGTGGACATAAGTAGATTGCCCGCCCTTCATGCCATGCCACCTGATGACAGGTTGCAGCCTGCTTTGTGACACTCAAAAGTCTGAAGGATGCCAGGCATGGTGGCGCACGCTTTTAATCTCAGCACTTGGAGGCAGAGGCAGGCAGATCTCTGGGTGAGTTCAAGGCCAACCTGGTCTACATAGTGAGTTCCAGGACAGCTGGGGCTACAGGGAGACCCTGTCTCAAAAAAACCAAAAAAAAAAAAAAAAGTCTGAAGGAAATGTCACAGTCAGTTGTTAAAACATTCTGGTTCCACCACTTCCTACTCTATAAGCTTTCTGAATTTTTCAATCAAAATTATTGTTTTTACATTTATTTGTGTGGGTAAACACTCAGGCCACAGTGCACAGTGGAGGCAGAGGGCAGCTTGTGGGAATCAGTTCTCCCCTCTACCACATGAATTCTGGGGACAGGACTCAGGTAGTCAAGCTTCATAATAAGCATTTTACCCACTAATCCATCTCGCCGGCCACCAATTAAACTTATTTAAGACACCAGGCATGGTGGCACTTACACACAACTGGAGCACTCAGGAGGCTGAGACAGAAGGATCACTAAAGGAAAACATTATTTTAGGGAATCTATTCAGGCACTATTATTGACAGGTTAAATGGATGGATGGATGGATGGATGGATGGATGGATGGATGGATGGATGGATGGATGGATGGATGGTTGGTACATACAGACACATCTAGATACACAGATGGGCTAAGATGGCTCATCAAATAATGATGCTCACTTCCCCTTAAGGTTGATGTCCTGAGTTGGAGTTCCACATGGTGGAAAGAGACCTGACTTACAAGCTGTCCTCTGACTTCCATATTCACTACGGTACACAGGCACGAGCAAACACACAAATAATAAATACAGAAACGAGTAAAATAAATGGGGGTGGGGTGGGGGGGTAGAGATAACTCAGTGGTTATCCTCCAAGCCTAAAGATAAGAGCTCCACCACAGAGATCTCTACATGCTAGAAGGAGAGAAGCAATTCCTACAAGTTGTCCTCTGACCTCTACATGCATGCCATAGAAAGTTGGTGCAGGCATACTTTATCATTAATCACTATTAACTAAATGTAAAAAGATGGGTAAATAATTGAGTCACTGTTATCAAAGAGAGATTGGGGCTTGCTCCTCCTCAGACAAGCCCATGTCATTAGGATGCCCAGAGCCTGGGCTCACAGTGCCACAGGACACCAAAGTCACAGACTGGACCTGGCTCCCAGCTTGGGGAGGAGAAAGAGCTTCCATGAAGAACATTATGACATCAACTAACGACAACGGAATATGGACAGTAGGTCAGAAAAGCACTGTGCCTTCAATTATTTACCTACGTGGCACTGGTGCCTCTGGCTATGTAAGACACTGTCTAACTCCTAGGGCACATATTCCAGAATTTAGGGTAAACGATCATACATCATCTGCACCCGCACCTCAACAGGTTTGGAAGGAGGGAGGGAGTGTATGACAGTATATGCGTACAAATATGGTTTGCATGTATCTGTGCATTTGTGTACAATGACTAAATGAATAGGGTTAAATCACAACAGATTGATCTGGGTAAAGGAATCCCATTGTGTTCTGTTTACAATGTTTCTTCTTGCAACTTTTATAAATTCGGAAATTAATTCCAAATAAAGAGTTTTTTTTAAAGTAGCTAAGGGGGCTGGAGGTGGCTCAGTGGTTAAGAGCACTGGTTGCTCTCACAGAGGACCCCAGTTCAATTCCCAGCACCCACATGGCAGCTAACAACTGTCTGTAACTCCAGTTCCAGGGGCTCCAACACCCTCTCTTCTGACCTCCATGGACACTGCATGACACAGGTGCACTTACACATGAAGGTAATACATTCATACACATAAAAAATAAAAATAAATATTTGAAAAAAAATAGCTAAGGGCCAGGTGTGGTGGTACGTACCTTTAATCCCAGCACTCAGGAGGCAGAGGCAGGCAAATCTCTAAGCACTCGAGGATGGCCTGGCCTACATATTGAGTTCCAGACCAGTTGGGGCTACAGGAGACCCTGTCTCAAAAAGAAAAAAGAAAAAAAAAAAAAAAGCTAAGAGCTGGAGGGCTGAAGAGATTGCTCAGTGGTTAGAACACTTGCCACTCTATCATGAGAACTGGCGTTTGTATCCCAGCACCCATG